CTAATTCCCTTTCATTCCAATTCTTCCAAATACTAATTCCCTTTCATCATCAGGTCATCTCCAGTGCGTTTCAAGGATTGCAGGTTGTATGAGGCAAATTTCCATCGGACCATTCTTCATCCATTTCCGGAGTCAAAACAAGAAATGACCCATTTGTCTGAAAAAGGCAAAGTGCGACAAAAACATTGCCATTGCATTTCTCCGCGTGACTCTACTCTTTGTGCCATCGCGGCTATTGTCATAGCAGTACTTCCTCTGGCAAGGCGCATACGATCTAAGCATAACAAACCAGTGACTGCTGGGTTCGTTCCTGCCAAGATGTCATTCATGTAGCCCAACCAGCTCCATCTTGCAAGGATAGTCTGTGAAAACACCCAAGCTGACCGTAAGCCAGCTGCGTCCAGCAATCCTCGAACTAAAAGACGCAAAGCGCCCTCTATCTGCCTCTGATTTGGTACATACCGATTCGTGCCTGGAGGAACAATGCCATTTGGTATCTCTCCATTTGGTCCTACTGGGTCAGTGGCAGCCATTCCTGCCAGCAGATCATCACATATGAATATCACATACAGTGGCTCACGACAATCGACTTGCATGATGAACGGCTCAATGACCGCCCCGACTGCACTTGTGAATTGAAATCGAGGTCGCGTCAACCAAGCACGACCCATCCATACTGTGTGACCTCCTGTTGGGTTGCATGAATCACTATTGTCCTCCCTTCAACGCATCCTTGCACTGCCTGCTCATATGCATTCAGCCGCTTCCACCCAGGAGGAGTGACAAAGTTGTTGTGATAGAAATTGCCTTGCCATTCGAACCTGGCATTTACATCCACTTGATTCGGGTAACGGGCATTGATGTAGCGACATGCTAAAGCATTCACCAATACCACTGTCCACTGATGACTCAATGTAGATCTGAATGCTGATAATCCTGTGACACCGAATGATTCCCCTTATCGCTGCTTCTGCCCTGGTGGGGACCAATAGTTTGGGGGACCCCCCACAACTATTGGAGGATCAGCTCCTGAGTTTGTCCCACGCAACGCCCTGACCATTGCATTCTCCAGCTACGGAGTGCTAGCAATGGTCTCATATCGTGTCCCGTACTCACCTGGCAAATGATGAAGCGTCATCCTGGACACATATCCTGCCCCGTATCTAGGCCCAGTATAAACAGTTCCTGCACGAAAGACTCTAAATTTGGACCTTTGACCTCGTGGGTCAAGGCATGAGTGCCAATGATATTGTTGCCAGGTGCTGCTGTGTTAACAAACTGAGGATTTGCATTACAGCATCCAACTGGTTGGGCAGCTAGCAGATCTGTCAAAGTGACTGTTGTTGCTCTCTGTTGCTCTGTGTCCAGCGACCAAGCCACTGGCTCCATCTGCATCGTCTGCTTTGGCTCACCAGGCTCATTCCTCTTGGGAGCATTCCTCTTCTCACCACCAGCCTTCTGAGTTGGCGGCTTGGGTGGCTCGGTTGCCCTCTTTGGGGGCGCAGATCCAGGTTTAGGAGTGTTATCCTTCTTAGGATCAGCCACTGGCGGTTTGTTCAAATCACCTTGATCTGGAGGCTCAACCTGTCCCGGTGGAACATCACCCCCATCATCTTCATCCATTGCGTCACGAGAGATGTTGATTTCTCCAGTGCTACAATCACATGAACAACACATTAACTTTATATGATCAAAGGAAGTTTAGTGTGCAAAACTTCCGTGTTACGGACATTCAACAGCTGTTCAACCACCACTCATCATACACCACTCATCAAAACACCACTCATCATACACCACTCATCATACACCACTCATCATACACC